ATGACTAGAATCAGTGCTAAGGCTGAACCCTTTCGGTTTATTGTGCTTCTCTTGTTTTAATTAAACTTTGTTATTTACAATTCTGCAGCTAAAGTATAGGGACTATCAATCTTACTCAGTAGCTAAAAATATTAGCAGAGAGAGGACAAAAAGAAGAAATTAATAGTAAGACAAAAATGTTGATTGCAACATTTTACCAATAAAAATACAGGGAACGGCAAAGAGCAAATATTTCCTTCCATCTGCTTACAAAGAAGTAAGAAATTAAAATTCTACCTAATCTTGATATCTAACTCTTTCTAATAAGGGTTCTAGATCTTCAGAGGTATCCAAACAAAAAAAGTAAATCCAAAGTAAAAAAGTAAGGCTCAGTAATTTAAAGAAAATTTATATTGCCTAAAGAGGCAATATAAATTGCCTATTTATACTGCCTAAATAGGATCCTATTAGAGTATGCTCCATATTTTAGTTTTCTTGGAACAGCATCAATAGCTCTTTAGCATTTCAAAGATATATTCCATAAGAAACGTGTTTTTTTAAGATACCCTTTTAAAATATATTTTAAAGAAGGTAATATATTAATAGAATTATCTGGATCCACTAAATGTTTAAAAGGTTTAGTAGAAATTGAGGATAGAAAAAATATTACCTGCCTTTACAGTGGCAAGAGGTGACTTCAGTTAATTTTCCAATACTGCATCCAGTCTATGTCAATGCCCTGATGAAGCCTGGACAATAAGCTGGAGAAGATATCAAACAATGCATCTCAATTTTGTTTGGGATATAGAGCAAATGGCTTCCTAAAATGAATGTTAAGGAGTGCCATATTTGTAGCAAAGCAATCTTACATCCTGTAGTAATACATGAACTGGTACAGTCAAAGAAACAGGACTAAAGCAGAAGACCTGGGATACACAGTGTAACTGGGATACGCTCTGTATAGAAAATCCCCCGTTATGAAGAAAAAAATGCTACATGTTGCTAAATCTTGATGAAGAGCAACCTATCTGTCCCCAGTTCCAGCAAACTGGGTTATTGCATCCAGGTCTGATGAGCCACGCTATGATTGAAGTAACCAGGTCTCAGCTTTTCTACTCATGTCCTGACAACGAGAGCATCACTTCATCTTTCAACTTTTCAACTTTTTATCAAAGTACACAGATAATAAAGTTTCTTTGCTCCTACACTGTATTTGTCTAAATTGCAAGTCATTCCCCTTTACTATTCTGCTCCCATTCACTTTAGTATATTACTCTTTGAAACAGACATTGTTAAAGCAACACAGCCCCCTAGTGTGGATGGAAACCAAAAGTTTAATTCACATATAATTATGAGGCACTAACTTTCACCAGACTACAAGCAGCAACAATTACACAAACTTCAATAAAAAACCTCTAACCAAACTACACCAATGACAAACCCAAAACCATACATAAAGAATATCTGCACTAGCCAATAACCAAGAATGTAGATTTAATAAAAATTTAATAGTTTAGATAGTTTATATTTGGAGCAGTTCAGCAAACGTTTTTGAGTGAAGTTCTACATGCTTTCAAAAAGATGGAATTAAGTCATGGACCTTTATTCTGATGCCTCTTATCTTCAAGACTAGTAGAATGTGGGGTTATCACTTATGTAATATAATCCAGCACCATTCAGCAGTTGGATTTTCACTACTCATTCTGTTGTGCCAACACAGAAAATTCAATCAGAATGGTGCCCCAGGTTAGAAGTAGGTGCATGAATGAGTTTCCTGATGTGGTTCTGTACATAACCACATAAACACTGGCTGCACAACAGCAGGAGGAGACCAGGAGACAGCTTGGGAATAAGCAACCTAACCAAAAGCGCATGCAGAGTTCCTCACCAGCATTCATATTCAGCTTTAATGTCTTTCCCAGTACTCTGTTTCTGCCTACCTTTAAGGCTAGTGTTAACAGGCTTAGACTAAACACACTTTTTTAGTTGTGTGTCATGTCCTGTGCTCCCCTGGCAACCTTAGAAGACTATCTGCATCTGCTCCACTCCCAGCAGATATGCTTTCAATGCAGTCGTGCAGAACTGCACACAGTATTCCAGTGAAGTAAAGCTGAGAAGTCTTAAGTAAAGTAATATTGACTGGAGTCCGGAAACACAAGATTGAATCCAAGGCTTCAGATTAGACAACTCATGGCTTTGCAGAACCATTAGATACAAAAGAGAAAAATTCAATTTTGAGATTGACAATAATCAACGATCCCATGGACAAAAAGTTACCCTTACACACTGTTAAAAAATTATGATGAAATGAATGAACAAATGAACATGTTCCATTCTCTGGTTATTTTTTGTTTGGTGTTTATTTTCATGTTATTGTGCTGTATAAAGCAACATGTAATATTTAGATTTAAATTTCTGAGACCTTTCCTTACCTGACTACATAGTATGTGGCTAACCTTTCCTACAAGCACCTTTTCTGGTATTAAACCCTTCCTTTCTCCACCTTTTATGTATTCTGTTTACATATTTCAATATTAATGCTACAAAAGGCCCATGAAACATGAGATTTCACCTCCTCTCCCACAAAATCAAGTATTTTAACATCTGTATTTTGCCACAAATAAGGTGAACAAGCTTTTTTTCTTCTCTACCTATGTTGCAGATTGACTTAGCAATAAACATGAAGGTTTATACTACTGGGACTAAAATTGCAAGACTTTATAATCAGTTTTTAATTTGATGCCTATGTTCCTAAAGTTATGCTGTTCTTATGTTTTTGGATCAATTAACCACCTCATCTCCCTTCCTGACTAAAGGGCTTATTTCACAATTAATCTTCAATTATCTTCTGTGAAAAGGGCATATTTACCAGCATCAATGATCTCATAAGGCTAAATCAGTGTTTATAATTTTAAGATAGGCACATAAAATGCCATATAATAATTCACTATGCACTCATGCACATAAAGCTTTTCTTCAGTTGCTGTTTCTAGAGAATGCTTCAGCCACATAAGTTACAGTAACTGCTTTTGTAAACTATTCTTTAAAAAATAATAGTGATAACCAAGCAACCATGTACAAACTTTAAAGCTCTGACATTGTAAAGGATCAGCTGGTGAAAAGACATTTTGTCCCACTACAAGACTCCCCCGAGGTGGCTGCTGGTTTTGAAACTGTGCTCCTTTAAATATAAAGGAGGCCGCAGTAAAAGGCTATCCAGCACTTTGTCCTTTGGCAAGACTCACAATGCAGTGCTGAACTGCTTGTGTTTCATGTGGCATTTTAACAGTTTCTAGGTAGAACAGTAGCATCTCGTATCACCTACACAGATTATCTGAGTATCCCTACTTTTTCAAATACACTTAGAAACAACCTGTAGTGATTAATGAACAAAATTTCATTTACTACAATTAACAATTACAGTAATTGCAAACAGGAAAGAATATATTTTATAACATAGCTTAAAAAAAAGTTACGGCACCAAGTCTCTTAGGTAAAATATTTTTGAGAGCAAATACTATATTGAAAAGAGTGTTACAAGGGGAACTAATTATTTTCCGTGGAAGTATTTTTGATTTGCCTCTCAAAACTGGCATCTTGAAAACTATTTATTATTCTCTATGAAATCACCATAACAGCAAAGCCTCCAGAGATAAACACTTTTGGCTCTTTGTGGAGTCATACCTTTTTATTTACCTCATACACACACAATAAACACCCTCTTCCTCAAAAAAGCACTGTGCACTATCTATGAGGACAGACAAAATTAATTAAAAAATATTTTTGTAGCAGTCCAAAGTATAATCAAGATCTTTTTCATGCTGACCAACACATAGCGTTCAGTGGTTGTTTCCTGACAAAATGGTTGATCAAAATCCAGTAACACTATTTTAAAGTTTCATAAATAATTCTATTTATTTTACATACAAATTGTCTCTTCTTCTAAGAAATAATAAATTTATTTTCCAAGGAGAAATCACAGACATATTTAAAAGTGAAAACCAAAACAGCCCTATAATAAATATTTTAAATTAACTGTATTTTTTTATCTCTTCAGTGATAAAAATCAATGCAAGAGCACATGTAATTTAGCTGATCTGTTTTTAACCTAAGCAGCTACAGTACAATATCCTAAAAATGAATTAGTATTTGTGTAACCAATCACATTAAGTATCTCATATGATTTCTTTTTATTTTATTTTTGTAAACAGCTTAATTGAATTTTCTTGGAATACTTCTCATCTTTTAATTTTGAATTTAATTAGAATGTAATTACAAATCTTCTGTGTCATATGCATAGTAAATCTCTGTCACACTACAGGCTAAAGTTAGCATTTGCAACTTCTTGATACAGAGTTTGAAATAGTAACCTTTAACAGTTCAGCATGCTATAAAACAATCTTGTAAGGGTGACCTGGGAAACTAGCGGGAAAATCCACCTCCAGAAAGTAGTCAGTAGAAGGCAATTACATTCTAGTTTATCATTACTTCCAGCAGTATTTTTGTGCTGCCAAACAACCGAAATGTGCTGTTTTGCTACATCACTGAATAAACTTCATACCTGTGGCTTCTTCTGGTGACCAGGAAATGCCCTTGCAAGCAAGATTTTGCACTCCTACAGCAGGCAAGGTATTCCGTGCCTTAATGACCCAAGTACAGCAGCACTAAAATGAAACTTTGAAATCTAACACAGCTCCACCATCCTGTGACTTTGTAAAAGAGAAGACAGCACACCTAAGTTTTGCCAGCTGTCTTTCTGTGATTATTTCCTTAGTTTCTCTGGATTCAAATAAAACACAAATTCACCAAACAGCTAAATGAAATTGAGCAAAGACAACACCCACAGATTTTGAGACAGTAAAGCTACCTTTTGAATTGTGCATATATATTTTAACTTACACCCTCCATTTGCTACAAAAATGATAGAAAAAAAAATGTTGATGATGTGGATAACACTAGAGTTAGGTACACTTTACCCAGGTCACTGACATCACTTAATGGAAGCACACGGTAATTTTCTCAGCTGTATTTAATGAAAGTTTTAGTTTATTATCAAATTTACACTGCACTAACATTTTACAATAACGTTGATTCTAGAGGAAATCAATCATACTTAAGAAATATACAAGATGCTTGCTACAGAAAAGGGTTTAAAAGGAAACAGGAAAAAAGAAAGGGAATAAAGGGATGGAAGAACAAAAAGGTTATTGTAAGCCTTAATTCAAGACATAGTATCTGAACAGACTAAGGTTTGCAGCAATATTACACAGTACTAGGGGAAATTATCTCTGCTACTGTTGTAAAGTATGTAGCCGGCTTTCTAAGTAGCAATCGAGGAAAATTCATGAATAAAAGATGTAATATATTATTTTACTTAGCAAAGACTACAATTGTAAACTTCATGTCTTTTGAGAAAAAAATTGATGTCTGCATGTGTAAACAAACACACAAATATTTTAATATGCTTTGATTAGCAGCCAGATATAAAACCAGCACTAATTCTAAAAAAATTAGAATAATTTAAATTGTTGTAAGATATTATAGTTATGAAAATTCATTCTTAATTTCAATTTATTTACAAAGGAATACCTTGAAGTGGATAAAAATAGAATTTATATTTTAAAAACTCATCAATAAATTAAATGCCTTTTCTAAAAAAACATACTGAAATTAGGTGGATTGTCCTGCCTTCAGGGGACATGAAATGACTACATCAGTTGAATGTTAAAAGCTCAAGATCTTCTGAACTGTTTGATTTGCTAAGTATTTTGCCAAATTATGCTAAATAGTATGCTAAAAGAAAAGCTTTACAGTCAGGAAGAAACTCTGCTTTTTCAGTTATAATACAAAAGATAAGAGTGGAGGAAAGTGACAAAACTACATGGCAGTGTAACAAACTCTGCTCTGTCTCTTTCAGGCACTTTCATAACTCTGAAAATAACATGTTCAACTGTTTATTTTAAAGGTAAAAATCCTTCCCTTTAGGAGTTCATATTTCAAAAAATTGAGTATGCCTTTAAACAAATCATCACATTTTAATTAGAATACCTACATCATGATGAGATGGGCCCCGAGAAGAATAAAGTAGTCTCAAATCCCTTCCAACCCTAACCGTTCTATGATTTCTAAGTTTCTACAACAACCTTTCTGGAAGGCACCAGGCTCCTGGCACAGCTCTGTATGAGGTGTGACTCCTTGAAGAGGTAACCCAGCACAAGGACACCTCATCTCAGGGAAGCATCAACCTCCGTTTGTGCATGTCATGGAAGCCACACACTAAAGGCAACAAAATCACTGAACCACAGGTTAGGATACAGAACACAGTCTGAATGAGGAATGTCATACCCAACACAAACATACTGTAGCACTGAAGAGAACAGACATCACCTTCTTCGAAACAAATAATGAAAATGAAATCTGAACAGTCTCAGGGATATTTTTTTACATCGCCAGCTTTCATCAGAGCCTTAATAGCTCTGGCCCTCATCTCAAGTTCCAGAAGCTCCAGCTGTTGTGCTGATGGCTGAACATCTTCTGATGGAGGAACAGCTAAGGTTGCTACTTTAGACTCCTTTGGGCTGGACTCTGCCAACCCCAGTATCTCATTCACACTCTTCTCAATGTCCTTCTGAAGGTCTTCTATCTGACCAGCTCCAGTTCTGACAGTGCTCTCTTGCACATCTGGGCCATCCTCTTCATTGCATGGGCCTTCTATATCACTATCATATGCATCTGCATTTATGCTGAGGACGTCACTATCTTCTCCCTTGCCTGTAACACAAACATAACTATTAGACTATTAGAGTCGCCTAACAGAACTGTTTTTACCTCAACTTACAGAATCACTTCTGCTTAAAGTGTTACTCTACAAATTAAGAGTGAAAAAAAATCTGTAAAATAACCAATTCCTCTTATTTTTCTCCTCCTTTCAAAGCTCATTTATACAAGTGTTAATGCATTTTTATGCCAATCTGAAAGAACACGCAGTATAGCAAAGCAGCAGTACCAGAAAAATTTATTCCCTCCTATGAAGTTACATGACCTATTTTCCTAATTAAATTGTAATACAATTTTATATTAAAGAAAGCTTTTGTAGTGCAAATCTGATTTTTGTTTATCTCTCATGTAAATTTTCAGAATGCAATTTCAAAAATTACACTCAATTATGTTATGTATTTTAAGAGGAGTGGGACTATAGTGAGACACAATACTAAAGTTAATAGAAACTCTACTTACAGTGCAAATACTCAGAATTTACCACTAGTCTTCCAGATGCATTTAGCCCAGATGTAAAAACATGGAGGAGTTTATGACTTTGGTTTTCAATTGTGGCTGAAAGTCGGAGTCTATTTTTAAAAATATAATTAGAAGAGGCAGCTCAATAAAATAAAAGCAAAGCTCTAACAGAACCTGACTAACTGTTCTCTCAATTTGGCTACAGCAAGACTTGCTTCTGACACACTGGCCTCAAAAGCTCATACACCTTCAACAGCTTTTGCAAATGTGGAAACTTAGAGCAGGATTGGTTCCAACTCAAAATGAATGATGTGTATGCAGATGATGGTAAAGTTACTAACTATACAGACTTTATACTACTTTTTATTACTTTTGGTAATACCAATTTTACCACTTGCACAGGAAAAACAAGGCTTCATAAAAATTCTACTCTTTTTTTTTAAACATTTTAATATGCTTTATGGTACCTTTATGCACTTGGTATTAATACATGGAAAGTGCCCAAAAACCTTAGGAAGACCTATTTTTCTTGGGGTTTACAACATTCCTCCCATTCTGAGGGTGTGAAAAAAAAAAATCAATACTGACTACTTCAAAAGCTATAAATGCAATTTCTACACTGAAAAAACAAAGGGAGGGAGGAAAGGAGGATCAAAACATCTCTAAATGGCTTTATAGACAATAGTAGTATTTTAAAACATTAGGGTTTTGTTGATGCAACATTGCAAATTTTTTGTACTATAGACAATTCAGTTACTCACTCTCAATCACTCTATCAGGCTATGATTGTCACAGCATTTAAGTTCAGATTTAAGAATTCCACACACTCATCCTGAGAATGCACTCACATACACAGCTAAGGTATGTGGCACCTCAAAAACTCCAAACAAAGCTAACAGGAAAGCAAGTTCAGCTCACAAAAATGTATGTTGAGGCATATAAAAGAAGTTTACAGATCACTTTTCACCTTTTTTTTTCTTTTGCAAGATAAATCACAATTTTGAAGTAATAAAATCTGAAAGCCTAAAATATAAATAAAGCTACAAAAGAAAAAAAAAAATGCCTTCTCAGAGCAGAGTGTATAAAAACTACCCATGAGATGAACATACAAGGGTCTTCTTTGATCCTAAGTAGCCCTGGCCTGCTCCTACTGTGACAGTAACTTCAAGACTAGTATTTCAGTTTCATATGCAGTTTCCCCTATTTCCTATTTAGCCATCTTCGAACAGTATCAATTTAACTTTACCTTGCAAGCAACAATGTATGTGAAAGATCAGAAAGGGAAACAACAGGATTAAGATATAATTTTTCTGTCTTGCTTCACAGTATCACAGTCAGTATTTACCTAACATGCTGGTCAACCAAGCAGCATTTCCATGAATGAAAAAATAAGCCGCATCACTGGATCACAGTTCAAAGCCTGAAACTTAACACCTGAGCCTGCTCATCCTAACTCAATGCCAAAGTTAAACTGACCTCAGTCAGTGACCTGAGTCAATGACCAAAGTTAAACTAAACTGAGTCTGGCTGGGATGGAGTTAATTTTCTTCAGAGGGGAGTGCATGATGCTGCTTTTGTATTTGTTTCTGAAACAGTTTTGATAACACACCAGTTTGGCTACTGCTGAAGAGCACTTGTACGGCCTCAGGGCTTTCTCTGTTTCTCACTCTGACCCCAAAGACAGTAAGCTGGGAGGCTGGGAGGGACACAGACCCAGGACAGCTGAGCCAAACTGACCTAAGGGATATGTTCCCCCATACAACACTGGCGTCTGTCTTCCCAAGTAACTGTCATGCATGCTGAGGCTCTGCTTCCCAGGAATGGCTAAAAAATCTGGCAGCCAATGGGAGATTGTGACTAAGCCTCTAATTTTGCTTTGTTTCAATGTACAGCTCTTGCTTCACTTATTGAAGAGTCTTTATGTTGACTCATAAATTGTTCTCAACATGTTGTTTTGCTGATTGGCACCTTTACCCCACTGGGGGACAAGTAATTGAGAGCTGGCATGAGCCTATTGCTGACTAGAGTCTAGGAGTCCTTTTGGAATCAACTTGTCACATAAAGAAGGAATAAAATATTAAGTCATTCATGTCTGTCTAAGACATTTAATAAGTATGAGAAGCTGGGCAGAACAACCCTGGGTTCTATTTAGAAATTGGAATCTCCAAAACTGTGCAATTCAGTGGTCATATAAGCTTTTTGGCCTACAGATGTTTAATGAGCTAACAGGCTTTATTTCCCTCTTTTGCACCTGTGTTTTTACAGTAATAAGGATCATGGCTGGCATTTCTCATTATTTCTTTCCGTTTGGTTACTTTTACTTTTTCCTTCACCTACATTTGCAAAATTCATTTTAGCACACTTAATTCCATTTTTAAATTTTATTTTATCTAATTTGCTTGTTCTCTCATTCTCTCTTCTTTTTCCCACAGCTTCTCAGGCTGCAGTCAAGAAGACTGACTGGTGTTATATTTTCCAAAGTTCTTTAAAGCTAATATCTTGAGTGGTGCCAGTTAGAGACCAAAGCCATCATGATACTCTGGTTGATTAAGTCATAAAAAAAATAACAATGATATCACTTGCAACAACCATCAGTTCCCTTTGATAATACAGAAGTGGAGGAAATCTGCAGGAAATTTGTCAGTTCTAAGGTTCCTCCATATAATACAAAAACTGCATTTAAAGGGTTATTCACAGTCATAGCAACTCACTGAAAGATTTGATGGTCTTATTATGTATGACTCCTTCCTTTCCCATTTAACTCTTCTCACTAACTAATTCAGAAGAAAGAGGCGTTTCACAAAGTCATTCCAAGTGACATCTTCTAGACAATATTCTGAATTGTGAAACAGCAGTTGCAAGCAGCAAATAAAGCTCTCTTCTTTGCAGAAGAGAAATGCAGTTTAGAAGAATTTGCAACATTCTTTGACTGGAAAAGCTATTTCTGATCTTCCTGCTTAGAGCCAGTCAAAATGAAAATAAACAGACTGAGACAGAAACAGGTATAGCTCTAGTGCTTCATGCACAAGCTAACATCGGCAATTGTTAAATGTGCTAATTTAATGACTGGAATAAAAAAAATACTACTACAGGCCAAAAATACTGTGTTCTTGTGTAGAAAGCAAAAATGCACACCAAAAGCTTACTTGCCTTTCTATTTTCTATCCTGCCAAACACTGCACTACTTGAATGTCTCTCAAGCTGCATTTCTGCATTTAAGAAGAGAAAGTACCCAAGACAAAATATTCTTTCTCAATGAATGTTTATTCTCTGTTCACAAGAGAGCTACCTGGAATTAGTCACTGGCCAACATAAAGAACACAAAATTTCAGCTTTCTCTGCTACATACCTTGTTTTGATTCCTGACCTTCGAGCTTGCTGTCTTCTCTCACAGAAGAAGTTGAATCTATACTGTTGTCCTGTCTGGAAACAATTAAGAACATATTTTAATCACCATAATTTAAAATTTGACAAACATTTTTTTAGAAACTAAAAAATTATGAGGCGGTAGGCCAATAAGCCAGCTACAGTAGGAACACGGGCAGAAGGAATACATAGAGAGCTAATATGAGCACTAGAAAGTGAACTTTTTTGTTTTGCCTTGTGATACACAAGGATAAAGCAATTATTTCCACTGCATCCTTGTCTTTTACAGTAACAGTCCTCAATGATTCTAACTGAGGAACCACAGCTGAGCAGTGATAAAGGAAAAGCTCCTCATATTAGGAGCTTTCCTGTAAAACTCAAAATAAATTGTCACACAATTAAATGGTTTGGGAAAACAATAGTTTCTGCTGCACTCAAATACTATTTACTATCTTATTTTCAAAGTAAAAAGATATTTTCATGAAATTATCATCAGCCCATCACGAACCTCTCCTAAACCAGAATCTTCCTGTTCACAATGGGATACTTGTTAAAACGAAACTGTTCACAACTCAGCTATTACAGTGTATTCAGTATCTGCATTTCTCTACTTCGCCTATTTAAATGATTTCTACCCTTGAGGGTTTCAATTTTTTACACAAGAGTATGGAAGAGATACTTCAGTGAAATGTTAATGTCCTTCGTATACTTCACACATACTGTGTGAAGTTACACAAACTGTGAAAATAAGGTAAAACATATAAGAAGGGCACAGGTAGAAGGATCCAGAATCACAGGAAGAGTTCAGCTGCCACATGCAGAGAGCATTTTGACAACAGATTTACCAAGTTCCTAAACTGAATGTTGGTGTGGCATTGATTTCATCTGTATTAATATGGAATCAATGCAGCTCTCCTGCCCATGGGACCTTAACAACACTACAAAAAGGAAGCAGTATTATGATATCACAGATGTAAATATAATGACTAACAAACTGTTTTTCAGTAATGGCCTTTAGGGTTTTTCTGAAAGTGAACACGTATCTACTTTTCTCATGCTCTACAAGTTGGATTTTTTCAGTGTGTCCAAAGGTTTTATCAAGATGAGGAACACCATTTCTAGGCATTGTGGTCTGAGAGGCAGTTATTTTAATTTCTATTTCCTTTTCTGAAGTGGGCAGAGGCTACATTAACAGAATCTCCTTTTTCTCCCAATTTTTTTTACTCACTGGAATATAAACATAAAGTATCATGCAATAACTCATTAAGGAGAATAAATAGGTCAATACACTTGCCTAGCAAAGCCCTAGAAGTGGACACCAGTCTGTTCTGCCTATTTATTGAACCACATGGCTACATTAACTCGTTTTCCAAACAGTATGAGAATAATCTAAATAGGCCCACACATCTGTGCCAGCAACTGCAAAGGGAACCACAGGTCAGAAGGGCCTACAGGACTGTGGTGCCAGAAGTCAGGCAGAATGAGAAATATACACTTTCTTCACAATTTTCAGTGTCATGCAGCTGATACATGCGTAAGTAGATGCTTGTGATTCACCAGCAAACTTCAAGTTTGTCTAGATAACAAGTCTGCGACTCAGATATCAATTAGAGTGTAAAATCAGAGGTCAAATTCCAAAGATAGACGAGGTTCTGCAAGTACGTCTGGCAAACTGAGGGACCCTAATAGAGCACTAGATACTCCAGAGATGAACAGCATCAGCTAATGGGGACAATTAGAGAGGACATCAAAGAGGCCTGCATGCACAGGGAGGTCTGAGCAGCAACTGCAGCAAGGATACAAACCCTGCGGGCTTCTGTGCCAGCCATCAGAGAGAGAGAAGTGGATTTCAGACCACTGAGGCAGATGTGGATGGAAACACCTGGGGTTTTTTTTTTTTGTTGTTTTTTGGTGGGGTTTTTCGTTCATTTGTTTTTAAAGCAACTCCTAACAATCTGTATTACATTTATTATATTTATTTATATTTAGTTACTTAACTCTTGACCAAAATTAGGTTGTGATATACCCTGATCGTCACTAAGAGCATAAGCATTTTAGGTTGTCCCTGTCCTTGTCCCATCCTGCGTGTACCTATTTCACCATTTTGAACTCAGGAGTCATGTCTGCACTGGACAGCAAAGTGTAACTTGAAAAAGCCTGACCTTGCACCACTAGTACCCAGACAATATCTGGTATCATCCTGATGTCTGATGAGAATGGTGATAATCTCTTTGAGAGAAAACTCAGTGATCTCTAGAGTTCAAACACTGGCTGTGAAATTTTCCATAACCATTTTAACAGCTGTGTAAAAAGAAATTACTACATTTTTAAAAATCACACATTGAAACTTATAAAGTTTCCTCCTGATGTCTTGACTTTTAACAACAATGACAGCAAACCACATTCCTTTAGAGACTACCTACCATCAGCAAAAGAATTTTTAGGACACACAAGTACTTTTACAGCATGTTTTAATCTCTCAGAATAGATTGGATTGGACTGAATTGCTGGTGAACCTTCAAGACTTTGTTTCACAGGCAGGCATTTTGCACCATCTACTGGCCCAACATACGTTTTAAGTTCACTGTTCAGTTTGGCTTTTAACTTGTTAGCCTTGTTTTATTTGTTTGCTAGTGAAAAACATTTTTCTCTACTAATTATCTGTACTGTGGTATACATATAAGAAAGGGTAGCACAGTATCATGTCCTTAAATAACGGGAGTAGAAGATATGTTATTCTAAAATTAAGGGACCTTATACACATTTAATACTCTCTTCTTTCATGCTATGCAGGTAAGTGACAATAGCAATTTGGAAAAGTTTCTCCCTTTTGTCAGCCTTTATACTTCTCCCTCAAGATGATCGTTAACTTCAAAGTCCATATTCCAAGCAATAAATTCAGCATTTTTCTTTTTTTTAAACAGAATAACAATTTCACAATACTATCTTTTCAGCAGAAGGAAGCTAACTACAGTTAGAATTTGTTGACAACAAATGTTGTAAATTTAAATTTACCTTATTTTCAGTGGAGCATGTATTTCATATTGGCATGCGCCACAGTAGTGTAATGCCTAACTGGGCTCACATAAACGCTTTCTGTACACAATTTGCTACAGGAATTTTTACAGCTCTCAAAGACCTCTGGGCTTGAAGGTCATTTGGTACCCAACTCCAGTAGATTATGCAAAGTAGGGTAAAAACGCAGCAAAAGTTAGGAAAAGGAGTACTGGCAGAGGAGCAGATGCCAAGGATCAAGACAGCAGTGATCCAGTACTGGTGGCCGAGATACCAGGTTTCAGTGGTAACAAGTAACTAAGGCTGGAGACCAGAAGGAAGAGTATCATTCACCTAAATCTCCAGTGAGACTTGAGATCAGGACCTCTGTTATTTTTGACATGATGTGCCTTCCTGAATTAAAATTTGCCTTTGCACTTAGCTCCAGGCCTAAAAAACACTTCCACCAGTCCCAACTCCTTGAGAGACTCTTCCAAATTTCTGTTCTAAGGATAGTTTTCAATGACAAATGAGAACTAAAATAATTAACAAGCATTAAGTAGCAAGTTAAAAAAAAAAACAAAAAGGAAAAAAGTCCTTATAAAGTAGTGCTTCTTAAGAAAGGTATCTCAAAAGACAGGTGTTAATCAAATAATTTAATGAGCTATGAAAAGTCCATCAGTCCTGTCACAGATGAAGTTTGAGGACACCACAAGAACAGGAGGTAGGGAAGCAAATTAGCCAAATGCAAATGTATCTGTTCAGTGACTCATGTAGCCCGTTGTTACAGTGATTCCAAATGCTGAAAATAACCAAATTGTCCTAAAGGGATAAATATCAGATGGCAATTGCGTGCTTGTAAACAGCCCAGTAGCCAGGAGCACAACACATTATAATAAGACAAAAATTTAAACTGCTACCCTTTCCAAAAGAAAACAAGCAAAAACTGCACTTTTGACTGCAAAGTAGTAAAAAGCCTATAAATTCTTTAAAGAGCAAACATTAAACTGCAAATTTTCAGTGAAAAAAATAAGCCCATTATGATTTTGAAGGCAAAAGATCATTACTCAGACCCATGCGAACATTGATCATTATAATGATATTAAAATGATTGTTCTTCATTAATAATGTTTTACTACTACAGCATATAACTTACTTTCACTTATTCTGCCGGAGGATATAGAGGATATCTGAAGAGTCAATTCAGGTAAAAGAAAGGGAATAGCTCAAAAACATGCTAACACCTCTTGAACGAGTTGAAGAACACCTGCTTGGTTTTCCAAGACATTATTTGACTCCTGTCAATTAAACACCTGGTGTTTAGTTGGAAGCTTTGTACACAGTATTCCTCTTGGCTTAACAGTATTCCATTGCAGACAGTAACACAACCAGCAACAAAAATCTCAGAACTGCATATTCAAAAACCTATACATAGCACATAAGTAACAAATATATCTACTGCAACGGCTTTTTCATGTTACTGGCAAATATAGGCCCTGCTTCTTCAGCTCTTATGCATGGTTACTGCAGCACTTCTAGTGCTTAACACAGAGCAAGCTGGTGACAAAATAAAAGAGAAAATGTTTTACATGCTAATGTAAGCACATGAAGCTTTTACATAGTTGAAATTTAGGAAAAGCCTCAGGACTTCCACTTCTGGTAAAAGAATGAGGATATGTGCAAATACCAAAAAAGGAAGATTCAATTTACCACTAGATACGATACCATCTAAAAGCTTCACATAAAGATCTGAATTTTGCATTTTTGCTGTACCTGGAGAAACTTCCCTAAACCCCTGCTACTTTTAGTTAGTACAGAAAGGAAACAGGTCTTTGGAGGCTTAGAGTAATTTGCTTATTTCTTTGAAATTTCTTTAGATGTACTGATTCAAGCTGTCTGGGTTTCTGTTTATATATGCAGATTGCCAACGGTATGTTTGTTGAATTTATTTTTTTCAAAGGACAGTAATGAAAGAAACAAGGGGATGATTCCAATCAGTTAAAACACGTTTGATTAGAGTACAACTTTCTACTCACTTTTTCCCTTTCCACATTTACATTTCCATGAAAACAACTAACACATGTCAGATTTAAAACAAAAAACCTGTAATAGAATGCAGGAAAAAGAAGTCATTTACATGAAAGCCACAAGTAACGAAGACAACCTAGGAAGAACTAACAGCAAAAATATAAACAGAGAAACTACCTGTTTTGTTATGAAAAGTCTTTTCTATTCCTAGGGCAAACAAATTCACCTACTTAAAATCCAGATAAAAATTATAATTAACGATTACAAACAATGCTTGCTTGTCTTAACAATGCAGTTTTCACCATTTTTTCACAGCTGCACCTTGAGTCTCTCTGGTGGCTGACTTGTTGTTGAAACATAGTTTTCTGAAGTTTTGAAAACTTGCATTTATAATTATTTACATCAGGTTTTAAAGAAGCTGACCTAAGGCCCAAAGATTAGACCTACTTAGTAAAGAGGGCTTGTACTGTTTATAGTTGCAAAAGTATCATATTCGTCTACTTAATGAGCACTGGACTTCAAGATTAACATAAAACCTTAATTCTCCTAATTTTCTCCTATCCCTTTATTTTTCTATCATCCAACCAGTTTTTGTTTTGTTTTGTTTTTGTTAATGCTAGCACACAGCTGAACTGTGGAGCTAAGGTTCTCAGGTAACACCCACCTATGCAGAATGCTATTTTTGAAAGGGAGAAGAAAATCCCCAATTTGTAAAACATCCTATCTTGCCTGCCCAGTTTGGAGGGGTGTGAAACCCTAAACTGTCAGGATACAAATACAAGAACAAGGGGCACCTCAAGTACTGCTTGTCAAAGGAAGCAATCTGCTCTACAATGACCAACATCTCTCAGTTTCTTTTACCCTTTTTAAACATGATTTCTTATTGATTTACTGTCAGTTACTGAAACCTTCCTAACTGACATGGGAAAATAGGTTATGTGTCTTCAGATATCCACTAGCTAAAAACTGGTAAATTCTGATTTTTCTTATTTTGTAGTTTTATTCATTAATTTCCTCTTTTTTAATTTTTGCCAGCTCAAATAATTTCCATATAAGAAAGAATTTACCCAATCTACTATATGAAAGGATCATAAATACATGTCTCAACAGTAGCTTTGAAGCATCTTGCAGACACAGAAAAACCTTACTGAAATCCAGCAGCACTACTCCTGCCATACATCTTAGAGATTAAGAACATTTCACATATTTTGAAATAGTAAATAGCTTGTGAGTTAGGCCTTAAACAAAAGCCTAAAACAAAAACCACAACATATATTTTCTCTGGGAATCAAAATCCTAGGGTGTTTTTTATGGCTTATTTAGGCAGCAAGGCTGTCTTCTCATTCTATTTAGAAGTACACTGGCAAATTATGAATGACTTAACAGAAACTACTCTACATAAAGAGACCCAACATTTAGTATTATATTTTGCAGTTTTTTATTTTTTTCTATCTGCTTTTCTAAACAGCCAACAGAGGGCTCTGTCCAAAACAAGAAAACTAGTTTCTGAAGCTGACTAATGCTGACCTCATTCACAGATCATGTAGGCAACAAATAGCACAGAGGGTTTCATTAACAATGGGCTCCAAATGGAACCTTAGAAGAAATAGAGTCAAAGAGTATTAAAATCTTGTATCACAAGAAAAAGAATGAAACATAATTTTGTAATCACTCCATTTTCTAACATATCTATATGATGAGAAGTCAAAAAAGAAAATTACTTCATGTGATAACTTCAGAGCTTGTTTTGAATTGAAGAAAGGATCACAAACCAGATCTCTGCTAAAGAAAAATACTGACTGGAATGTAAAAGTTGAATTAGTGTTACTACCTTTCCCATCCATTTGTTCTTATTTAGGAGGTTTAGATAAACTAACCAAACGAGTAGCTAGGTTACTTTAATCTGCACATCTCTGGTGCATTGTCTTGTACGTCTCAGAGATTTATTAAATTTGTCCTGAATCTGTGGATCAGCTGTAATCAAGTCAGTATTGAAAACATAAAAGCTTATTAGTCTTTTAGAAACACATTAGCCTCACTAAATTTGATGCATTGTGCATGATACCTAGTAACTTTCTTTTTCCCTTCACTACTTCCATAGAAACTATCAAATAGGTGAACTCCTGACAAAGAAACGGTCTTTAAAAAGCGGAGAAGCATTTAAGCAAAAGGTTAAGAAGTGCTGTCTTATACAAAACTGACAGATGCCAAGATAAGAGCAAGAAACCAGAAGCCTCTGTTCTTGGAATTCTACATTCTGTAGCACCCCTTATACAGAGTACATTGAACAGGTGAGTGTCAGTGCTGCTTCAACTGGGGCAGTAATGAAGGACCAGAATGAAAGTTGAAGAGAAGGGATAAATCTCAGCTGAACTGAAATTACTTAAACAATTCACTGACCTAAGTGGGAGAGGTTTACTGCTTTAGCTCACAAAAAGACAGTTAACCTAAATCACATCACTTCTGTTGCAGGACACAAGTATGAAACTTTAATTACCACAACTCAGCTGATGGGTGGTATGCCACTATGAACCCCGTTATGTGCTCAAGACACAATGTCAGAAAGTGACAAATGTCTGTAAGTTTAGCGCTTGCTAGTAGTCACAGTTCATTGTAATTCAACTAGAGTAATTAATTAAGGATACAGTAATTAGGTCTTTCAATGATATATTTGATCATTTCTCATGAAACAACTCTGAATTGTTCAGTCTCCTTAAATTAAGTGTTTTGTCTTTTACTCACTGACTGACTGAATCACCTCCAGTCTTGTCTCCTCCATCTGCCTCCTCGTCAGTATCAGAATCAGCTCCAATCCTGCCTAGATATACACAGTTTCAAACATGAAAATTTACGAAAGTGATATAATTAATACTACATAATTAGGTTTATTCTTAATTATTAACTCTATTGCAATCAGCAGAAGAGGATTTTTCCCAGTTAAAGCAGAAGTTCTAAAATTAGACTTAGTCAAAACCAAAACCCTTATTTGTGAGTCCTTTGTTAGCTAACATACATTTATACTGGATTGCAAAAAAACTGATTAGCTGTTCTTAGTACAATATTATGGGTGCTATAAATAAAGGACAAAATTAACAGCAAGATACCCCAGAGAACTCAGACTCAAAGAGTTTCCCTTCATTTGCAAAACAGCAATATGTTTGCAAATAAGTTCTACATCCTTTAAATATCAAGTGCAAGTTTAATAAAGCCATGAAAAGCTGGAATGTCATATCCTTAATCAAAGGACATGAACACTGTGCCTTGGTGGAACTGAGGGATTATGTACACACTAATATACACACTTACTAGTGTGTGTCTGTATATATACATATATATTTAAGTAGCCAGAAAGAGTGCAAATCCAGTTAAGGCAGATTGTTCTCTGGTGTACGGTGGAGTCTTAAAAGTTTCATTCATACCTTCAAGTATCTTCAACAGTTTTTTTTCAGATAACAGCTCCAACTGCTCCATGCAAAGTCTTTTGATTTCGTCCATGGAACAGTTCTAAGAAGACAGATAAGACAGACCACAAGCTACTAAAAATTTCTGAGAAGAGAGTAATTAAAAATGTAAGGAGTAGTCCAGCTGTAATCAAGAGTTAACTTGGATTAAAGCCTCTCCCATATTCTGACCTGCATTGATGCAAATGCTGTAGAAAACCAGGTGTTTCAGTTATGACAACAACAAAATATAGCCTATGTGTGGGCTTTGTCTGAAAAATTAAGCAATACACACTATCAGTTACTTGACCTATGGCTTGGAGTTTTTACTGCAGCTGCAACACTGAGCACCAGGAACACCAGACCGTATGTGTGAAGCATGGAACAGCAAACAACTGAAGACCTGGTTATTCCTAATTTTCCATCACTTGAGGGAAGACGAGTTTTGTAATTAAGCTTTCAAAGACCAGAGACAACTGTTGAATCAAAGCACACAATCTGGAGAAAGTAATGCTTCTGACAACACACCAAAAGTAGTGCACCACTACACAAAAATAAAGTATGTAAACTGCAATCTATATCTCATGCTTGGTATATACCATATGTTGCCACAGATTTTATTGATATTCCAGTTACTTTCACATCTCATACCTCTTGGTGACACTTGGTAATTTGACATTTTCAAATAAGCTATGATACCACAAACAAGTACCAATATTAGGAGGTGCTAAACAGGCTGTAACACTCACAGTCCTTCTGTAAATTTGGTTCTACACTATCAGGCAATTTCCCTACAAACTCAAGTAATGTCTTTCCTTCCAGCTTCTCAACCTCTTTTTCTTCTGCAAGAGATGAGAAATGGACAAGCCTGTGTGCAATTTACCATGTGTGTAAAATGAAGAAGTCCTGTCTCACTTATATTAATAACACACTTAATTAAGATAAAAATTTAAGACAAAACATTTACACCTACTAACAAACATTAGAGAGATCACACTTCACCTGCAGCCTCTTCTTCTGTATGGGCTGCTAGTTTAATTTATTTTTACTAAGTCCTATTGCTCACAAGAGTCAGAAGGTGTATGTCCTAAGCCAGAAAAACTCTAGCTTTAGTCCATAGGAGTTACAGCTTCAGAAGCTGTTTATGAAGAATTTGCTTTATTTTCTTATCTCAGACATTGCTTTAATACCATACAAAAAAAATTAGTTGCGACAAACAGAAATAAGTAATTTATTTACAAATCAGCATATTAATTAGTGAACAATGCTACTGAATTTACTCCTCACAATCATGAAAATCCTTTTGCACTTAACTAACCAGTACAGAGGGAGAGTCTAAAGCTAAACCTGAAGTTCAGAAATGGCTGAGCAGTAGCAAAAGGAGTAACCTGGAATAACTACAGCACATCTTTAAGAAGTCTCACTTCCAGACACATGACTGGGAAACTACTTAAGGAAGATACTTGATGTCGTCATAGAAACTTTTTTAGTTGATATATATACAGGCAGCTTTTAAAACGTAAATGCACTAGGCTTCAGAGGTAAGTATTCTTTGTTATGCAAGCATTCAGCATCATGGTAAGTGTATTTTCGTACCTTTAAAGTATCAGGCAGCATCTTCTGTAGTTTCTTCTCCCCTATGACACAGAAACACTGTTGAAGCATTTCCTTTTTGTCCCCGATGTAGAAACTGACAGGTTTGAGTGAAACAGTGAGATCTAATCCTCCTTCTTCTATATCACTGGGTTGTTCAGCTTCCTCCACTTTTACCTCAGAGAGTACGCTGCATTTCGTTCCCTAAAATCAAAGAAGGTACATTTTCTAGTGAATTAGAGAAGACAGAAACCTACAGCTTCACCTGTGCTTGCAATAATTTTCCCTTCATAAATGCAAGGTATATCTTAATGTGGACTTCTCAAATTCCAGTGCTTCATATTGCCAGGTAACTGCATTACAGAAGTTATATTTTTTTATTACTGAAAACATTATTTTGCTAGGAAAATTTTTTAAAGCTTCAAGAAGTGAAAAGTATTTACAAATATTAATTGGGAAATATTATCTGCAAATACTTAGCTGCTGCTTGCACATGAAAACATGCTTTAACACAGAAGAAATCCATCTGATTCGCTGGGCAATTAAATTTTAAAGTTCATTATTGACAGCTACCCTGCTAAGACAGACATTAGCATACAATTCCCTGTGTGGCAGTCTTCACAGAACTAAAATGGGCTTCGTATTAGAAAATTCATCCTCCATACATCAGTGGAGGACCTCTAGCAAAAAAAAATATTAAAAAAAATTTGTCAGCCTCAGAATTCACTCAGGCATGCATATCACACCCATTTTTGCACGCCAACACATCCTTGAGAAGACTCACAATGCCACAAGTATGAGAACCACGCCTGGGGCCACCCGAGCTTGTTCGCCACATCTCACACCCGAAAAACACAGACCGGTGTTCCCGGGATGTGCGCGGGGAGCGCCAGGGTTCGGCCCGCCCCCGCCGGAGCCTGCGCCCGAGCTGCCCCCGGCCGAGCCGCCCGCCCGCCGCTCCCCGCAGCCGCACAGCGAGCAGCGAGACCGAACCCAGTCTTTCCCGCAGCCAGCCCACGGCAGGGACCGCAGCCGGGCCTCTGCCGCCGCGGGATCGGGACGCGCCCGGGAAGGCGGAGGCGTCACGGCACCGGCCAGACCCCGCGACTCCGCCCGCGCTACCTCCAGGGCACCGTGGCTGGACTCGGTGCTCCGCCGCTTCCTGTCGCTGCCCTCCGGCGCCGGGGCTCCCTCTGGGCAGCAGGAACGCGAGCGGCGCCGCTTCTTCTCCTTGGAAGACTTCCTGCCCGGCATGGCCGCGCCGCGCGCACATCGCGCGCCGCCACACGCGCGCCGCTTCCGGCGGGGCTCACGGGCAGCGCCCCCTGCCGGCCCCGCGCTGCGATGCCGGGTTAATGCACGGGGTTAGCGAGGCCGGAGGACGACTGCAGCCACGCGTGGGCACGCCGCCTGTTTACACAAATATCCGTGCTCTAAGGCTAGAAAACACATCTTATGAGGAGCGGCTGAGGGAGTTGGGGTTGTTTGGTCTCCAGAAGAGGAGGCCCATTGCTCTCTAAAGCTCCCTGAAAGGAAGGTGTAGTGAGGTGGGGGTCAGTCTTCCTTGCCGTGCCTGCAGCGAGAGGACAAGAGAAAATGGCCCTTGTCTGTGACATCGGAGATTCAGATTAGATACTAGAAAGAAAATTATCACTGTCAGAGTGGTAAGGCACTGGAATAGGTTGCCCTGATGATTGAGTCACAATCCCTGGAGGTGTTCAAGAGGTGTCTGGATCTGGTGCTGGTGGTGTGGTTTAATGGTTCAGTGGTTGCAGTGATAATACTGGTGGATAGTGGACTTGGTGATTACTCTTCCAACGTTGATGATTCTCTGATGATTCCACAGCTCCATCCTCTGTAACTACTGTTTAATTCTGACCTTTTCCCTGACTCAACCTGTTTCAATAGTGAAAGGACCTGCATACTCCTCCCTTGGCAGCTGTTTGGCATTGCCAATAACTTTACAACAACAATAAGTTTAATTTTTCCATGATACTTAATGAGTACTGGAGATGTTTTTTCATGGGATGCGAACAATTACGCATTGCAGCAGAGAAGCCTGTTAAAGGCAGGTGACTACTCTGTGCAATTCAGTAAGACACCAATTAGGTTTCTGCCACCAACAAGATTAGTTACAGAGAGAACTCAGTCTATTACTCTAAAGAGGTTAGTCAAAATTAAAGGCTAGGGTAGAAAAATGTTCATAATTATACAGAGAAAATTTGTATTAAAAATCTGTTTTTCTGTGCAGAGATATGTAATAATTTTATTCTTTATTTTACACAATGGAATGTCTGTTCTTTTGTGTCTGCTTTCTTTCCCAGATTCAAACATGTTGCCATTTAGTTTGTCCATATTGTGTTGGGACTGCAAATGGGAAGTACTGGTCCATTTAGGTAGAGGTATGCCAAATGCAAGTTGTACAAAGCTAGTAGTATTAAAAGTGCTGGGGGCAGATGATAGATATTGCATGGGCTAACACTCTTTTGAAAAGGGTTAGAATTTACTAAGTAGCATCAGTTCTTTCTTCAGCAAGCATCAGTCCCTGCAGAGGTGGATACTATCAGAGTTGATCCTGATTAGTTTATGTTGTTGAGATTACCTGGATAGGTGACAATAGATGCTCGTATTTATCAACAGCAAATAACAGCCTCAGCATACTTTGAAGGTGGCAAAGGTAATGTAATTAGGAAACACGGAGGATGGGTCTAAGTTTGGGATGAAAATGGGATCCCTTGAGCAACTATAAGGAAAATAAAACGTTTAGCAGCGTATGCTTAGGTATGCAAACCGTGTTCTAAATGAATGTCGAATGCAGAATACAGAGTACAAAATACAGAAGCTAACTGGGCTGTTGATAAAAGTATTTGTAACAGTATTCGAATTTATGTACTCACAGGCTTCAAATTCTGCTGACAAAAAAGGGGTAGTTTCAGAAGGCCCTTGAGCCTCAGAGGAACCTCTAGAGGAATGCCCTAGAAAATCTGCAGAGGCTTCGAGAATTCCTCACTACCTGCAATGAGATAAGTAGGCTTCTCTTGTCATCCCCTGCAGCACGAAGTTAATCTATCCCTATTCCCTATAGGTCACTGCCCTTTGCCCTGCCCTTGTACCACCCCCGTGCCTTCAGACCATTGGGCCCTGACCCCATACTTAACCCAAGACACTGCAGTCTTTTGTCCCTGGACTCCTTCAGCGTGGCTTGGCAATAAACCTTGCTGGAGCTCTCTACAAAAGAACCTTTCCGTCTTTCTTTGCTGACTTATCTGTGTTGTGTGTAGCTGTGCGTTCAGTGACTGTCTGTACCTATCCGAGCAGCTTTCTCAGAAGATGCTGGGAGAGGTAGCAGCATTCACCATTCAGTTCCACACTGCTACAGTAGTTCATACTTTAGTTCAAATTATTTTTTAATGTGTTTTGTACAGACCAGTGGTGGAGTTATGAACACTGACATTGAGATACTCTTCAGGCTGTCAACAGCTGCATAAGGCATCTTGTTTCCACATATTTAATTTCAGTCTGTTCAGTACACATTTTGAAAAGATGGGGAACATCTGCTGTTCCTAGACTTTGGATTTGTTGATAGTTTATGGAGAAAGAGGCAAGTGATCACAGTACATAGTAATGGATCACATTCAGCTAACAAGCTTAGCTAAGTATTTTTAAACAAAAAAATTTCACACAGTTGGAATCAGCGGGTTATAACATTTCCTAAAGCATTTGGAGTTGCCTCTGTAGTACTGATCTATGGTAAGACTTGTAGATTATTATAGTGTATTACATTACAAAAAAGTCACTGCATCCCATGATTCATAGTATAGTATAGTTCAGTGTACAGTGCTTTTAATGAAATAGGTTTGCAGACTGAAGTTGGTCTGTTTCTGGCTGTAGCCTGAACACAGCTGAGTAATTTACACTGCTTAGTTACGTCCTGGTATGAGTAAAGTGCATCAGGATAACAGACATTACAGAAACCTTGCAATAGATTAGCTCAGTTTATGTTACTGTAGTCTTTTATTTTGGAAAGTACAGCAGTTGATGCTGAAATGAGTCAGTTTTGACTCCTCATTTAGTTCCTTGCAAAGGCATTTTATACTTGTCCTGAGTTTTGGTCTAAGTAGATCCCACGTTTTTCTACTTCAAAAAACCCAAGCCATGCCTAACAACAGTGCTTTAACATGAGAGGCTACTGTCTGCTGTTGGCTATTTTTTCTAAAAGCTTCCTGTCTTAGAAAAAATATACCAAAAGAATTGTGTCATCTACTGAGAAACTTTGAATTCTTAGCAGAAGACATAGCTTCTTTTCAAGGGCTCTTGAAGTCTCTCCAACATACTTCAACTATTCCCCTGCTGAATGAAATCAGGAGTCCTTAGCACACAGATCAGCAGCAAATTTTGAGTAAGCTGAAGATAGTAAGCCAGCTCCCAGTTGTGTGGCAGGCATTGCTTTCAATGGCCTCTGGTCTCAAAAGATCATACACTGTGGACCTCATGCCTGGTACATTTCCTCACTATAAATACAACGTTCTTTCACTGCAACAGGAACTTCATCCTGCTGGCATTCCTAAGGAATTCTTATTGGTGATCAAGCAGTAGATTGTGCAGTACCTTTACATGCATTTGTGTGTTTATGTACATGCATGCTGACATAAACCACAATGGAGTTCTAAACAGCACCATTTAAAAAAAAAGCAAAAGCAATTCTCCAGTCCGTTTCCTCAGATGATGCTAGATGATGGGAGGGTTGGTATTACAGTACCCTGTGGCAGCATGTATCTTTCTCTCCTAATAGTCCTGGCCTGCTTTGTTCATCTCACCCAACACTTAGTGCTGCAGTCCCCAGAAGGATTTTTTACTGTGTCTCATCATTTCTCCATAAACTTAAGTGAGTTTTGTATATACCATTTCCTGGGAGTTGCAAGAGTATGTTTATTAATATAAACATTATTTTTTGGTCTGGGTAAATCATAACAATTTTCACATATAGAGAATCTGTAACAGAGCAATCTCACAATAAGAAAACAAAAATATTAAGACAAGTATAATTTCTTAAAATAGCACAGGTACAAACACAGTTGAAGAGTACAACAGTAGAAAGCTAAAGCTTCAAGAACAATTGTGTAATAGGCAACCAAAATTCAACAGACAGGCACATGATCTCACAGAAATGTTTTCTAAAGATAGCTTCTTAGATGCTTTCCCAGGAAGGGTTCATCTATTAAGCACTGTAAATCACAAATGGCCTCATATATGAGCCTCCAATGTATCAAATCAGAAAACGTGTGACTCAGACCATGATCAGGACTGTGAGGGTATTTATTTGGAAATCCGTCCAAAGTGTAACTGTACAAGTATGCAGCTAAAATCGGAGAGACAAAGGTTGCTGGAAGCAGTGTAGTAACTCAGTTCAGGTAGCTGGAGCAAATCAAAAGAACTCTTGGTCACAAAATCCTTCATGTCTGGCATAGACAACATAGGCTGGTGTCATGTGATGTGGAGCTCATGTGCCAGAAGTTTGCCTGTTTTTTCTGTTGTATTACTCTAATGAAAAATGTAAGTTAAACATTGACCCTCTTCAGTTCATCTTAATTCTAAACCCAAATGTAACATTTGCACTAATAATAAATAACATTTCCCTTTTCGAGCTGAACATCTTGGATCTGCTAGAATAAGCTGCAAAGTATTATCTTCCCTTTTAACAGTCACCACAGTTATGAAGTTAAAGCTACCACCTCATGAAACTTGACTTTAAATTTTTGTAGTTTACAACAGAGTATTTCAGTTGTAAATGATCTGACCACTTCTGGACTGACCAAAACTTAGAGCCTCTTGTCAAGGACATTCTCCAAATGCCTCAAACACTGACAGGCAGGGTACAATGACACCTTTAGGAAGCTTCTTCAAGCTGCTGCTGCTCAAACTCTTCTCTGCACATAGACTGCTCTCCCACTCTTCAAGAGTGAACTTTTCTTAATCATCTAGATTTTACAACATAGAATAAGACACCTGCTATTAAGGAGTGGGGTATACTTGTTCTTAAAAAGTAAAAGTCAAGTTAAATGGCATGAACTTCTAGAGAAGCCTTTACAAGCTGCAAGATACGAATCTATGAGTGAAGCACAACATCCATATGGCAGGTAGAGGTTCTACCCCTCAGAAAATCATCTAGTTCTAGGGTTAAAAGAGGTTAAGATCCATGGAAGTTAACTTTCAAAAGGAAGTGGAGAAAGCTGATGAAAAATTTCCTTACCAGGCTATTTGACAAGAGTTAATATTAACTAATGTTAACTA